GGGGCGGAGGCGTGCAGCAGCGGCGGAGCCCGCTCCAGTCAGGGGCGGCTGCGCGAGCGCTCCTCCCCCAGCCTCCGAACGCCGGGTCTCCCGCCCCGCCCGGACAGGAGCTGGACTGGGCATGCGCGCCGCGCTGCCGAGCCGCGTGAGACCCCGCGCGCGCTCGCTCGCGCCCACCCCTCCTGCCCGCTCCCGCGCGAGACGCCCAGTGCGCGTCTCCTGGTTCTCAGGCCGTCCCTGGGCCGGAGGGGCGGGGAGAGAGGTCAGTGTCCCCAATTTTCATGCCACCACTCCTCAGGTACCGTGGTCAGAATCCATTTCTTTTGTTTGTGGGCCTGGTACCCTTTCTCGGGTCATCCTTACAGGGCCCCTCCCTTTTCCCCCTCGGCGGCTCGTAACCGTCCAGCTTGTCCTTGCTGACCCCGGAGGGAACTTGGGACCGAGGGTGATGACGGGAGAGGACCGAGCTGGATCTGGGAGTTTGTCCTTTTCACTCGCTCAGCCAGCCTAGGGGATCCCCTTGGTGTCCTTGGCACCACTCCTGGGGTGTAAGGCTGAGATCAGCACCTGGGAGTTCCCTGCCACCTTCCCCCAGCTGGCAGCTCTGCAGACACCTCCACCACAGTGCGTCATGCTTAGGTCCTGAGACAGGAGGGGAGGAGTGGTGATGGGGGTCCAGAGAGCCAGCCCTCCCAGACTTGGGCTCTGCTGGCTACCATACAGAAGTACCCCAGACTGAGCAATGAACACGTAGAATCAAGGCAACACAATCATCTTCGTTTTATTTGCCACTCATTTTTCTAGTTGTTAATGTCCAGCCCTCCGCCTCTTTCCACTGGGTCCAGAGAGCCAGCCCTCCCAGACTTGGGCTCTGCTGGCTACCATACAGAAGTACCCCAGACTGAGCAATGAACACGTAGAATCAAGGCAACACAATCATCTTCGTTTTATTTGCCACTCATTTTCTAGTTGTTAATGTCCAGCCCGCCGCTTTCCACTACAGGGTCTTTCTCTTTCAGCTCCTCTCACATTTCCAGAGGCCCAGAAAAAAATGTATTAGTTGCTCTTTGCCAAAGTAGACTCGGCCTTCTCATCAGGCCTGTCCTGTATTCTCAGGGGAAGGCTTTAGCCAAGGCCACAGCAACAGTGGGAATCCTCAGCACACACCTGGACGGCTGAGCAGGCTGTTTCTCTTCACAGAGCAGAACTGATGTGGTGGGTGAGCAAGATGATAGGCAGATGTAGGGAAGGACAGTGGATGAATGCTGGGCCAGCACCCAGGAGTGGGAGCCCACTCTCTGCCATGGTGGGCTGTCTCCAGGTCCTCAGAGCCGGGATGGGCTTCCTCCACTCACCACCACTGTCTCCCCAGTGATGTAGCTGGCATCTTCAGAGCACATGAAAGACACGATGCCTGCACACTCCTCCGGTTTGCCTATCCTGGGCAATAGAGGAAACAAGGGAGGGAGTGAAAATCAGGCCCCTTTTAACTGGTCCACAGGAATGGAATTTGTTTAATCGAGAATTATCATGTGGGGTCAGCTTGGTGGGGCAGCAGTGGTTAAGGTGCTAGACTCCCACATGATTGACTGCTGTTCAAGTCCCTGACCGGGTGGCTTACTTTTTCACTTCCCCTTTCTGGAGAGTCCATGCACCCTATAGCAAATTAAAAAATAATTTTCTTTTTTAAAAGAAGAAACTGGATCACATGGTGACTGCAGTTCAAATCCCCAGCCTAGTCAGCCTAAAACATGTGGGGCAATACAAGGTCCAACAAGCTAGAGGAAGGGGAGCACAGTGTGACCAGACTCTGTGGAGGGTATTCCTCTCTGTCACATTCCCATGCATGTGTATTTGCACTATCATGATAAATAGGGGGGGAAAAGTAAAGAAAAAAATTATTACATGATTGTTTTCAGGACTAGTAACCAAGATTCCTGCCCATAAAATAAGGTTACTATGAAGCTAAGCTATTGTAATTTAGTATAAGTGTACTGTACTCTGAAAAACCTATTAAATATTATATTCAAACAATATAGAGATAGGTTTTTTTTTTTGCGCACAGGACATCAAAATTCAAAGTTGTACAGATAAAATGGTGAGCAACTGTTTCATAGTTCAAAATAATTTGTTTCCTATGTGTGCATACTCCTTAAGTGTAGAGAGTATGTGTGACAGTGAATGGTGTGTTTAAAATGATTGCATTTTTCAGGCATCTATTTTTGTCCCTTAAAGTCAGCTTCATTTTGTGAGAATGCACTGATTCTCATCATTAGCATCAGTGATTGTGTCATTAGATCTAGAGCACTTGAATCTGGCTGCCACAGAATGCTCTAGAGGGGTAGAGCGAGTAACCCAAACCTAGAAGGCCTGGATTAGTGGTCATCTATCCTAGTGCACACTGAGAGGCTTAACCAAAAAAGAAGAAAAGCCCAGGTCCTGCCCTGGACCAGTTAAGGGAGTCTCTGCGAGTCTGGGGGTGGAGACTCAGATCTGTATTTGTTTCCATCTGGGCGTCCAGGATTGAGGTGCATGGGATTGGATCACTCTTGGGGCCCCTGACTGAATAATGAGTCATGAATTAGGCCTGTAGCTCTGCTGACATCAGGAGGACTCAAGGGAGTCTGGGATGTTTGGACCAGTAAAGAGGCATTGCTGACATCTGTCTGCCAGGTGACAAGGAAAGGTTACAGGGAGAGAAGATGACATAGAGGAAAGGGAACCCTATAAAGGTGCCTAATGGTTCGACCAACCCATTGGTAGAGAGTCATTTCCTTAAACAAGGAAAGTTTGGGGCTTAGTAAAGCTCTTCATTTCTTTTATGTGGATTGTAGGATCAGAACTTTGGAAATATGACTCTTTGTTGAAGGAGAATTAAAAAAGCATGATTTTACTTTTGGTCCCGGGGGGGAGACAGAGGAATCAGGGTCTGTCCTGGAGCTCTGCTCTGCTGAGACCAGGACACCTTTCTGGTTGGGCAGCGGCAGTAGGCTCCTGGCTCAGATGCCGCAGCGAGACCCTATATATGAACTTGTGAAATCTGTGAGCAGAGGAGAGCATGGCTGTAATATTTATGGGACTGAGACAGTGAGCTGTGGGCTGTGATAGGGACCAGACCTTTCCATCCCTATTCTTCTTAACCCTCCCTGCCACAGTCTTACCTTCTTATCCGCATGTATTCTTTTATACTTTCCTCTCTTGCCTTGTCTTTCCAGAGCTGCAGAAAGAAGGGAAATCTCTCTATGTGCAAGAAGAGGAACCTGAGCCACAGAGAAGGGAAAAAACTGCGCATCCTCACGTAAGTTGAGAGGAAGGATAGAGACACTCCTGCTTCCTTCTCATTTTTTCCTAGCCCCCAGCTCTTCCCGCCACCCTCTTCTGTTTTATTCTTCTCAGGTTGCAGTGAGGCAGTTCACTGGGTTTCCCCAGTTCACATCCACTTAAAGAGGTATGGAACAGTGTGAGTAGAGTCGGGATTCCTGACTCTGCCCTACGCCTCAGGAAAGGTGTAGGGTGTGGGGAGACTCTATGGAAAAAACCCAGGGAAGGGAGATGGACATGGTTGGGAGTTTAGGACTCAGGTGCTGGGCTCCCCAGCTCTTCAAGGAGTCCCGGCAGGATACAGGGCTCCCCTTTCTCACCGCACTGCTGAAGTTAGTCTTGATGAGTCCAGGAGCCAGGCAGTTCACCCTAATGTTCTTTGGGGCCAGCTCTATGGCCAGGTTTTTGGTGAGGCCCACCAAGGCTGTTTTACTAACATTATAAGGGCCCAGGCCCTGGGGAAAGAAGGTAAAGGGTTAGTTTTCATGTTATTCTCGAATCTTATTATTAGGCATAATAGGCAGTGGTCAATAGGGTATCTCCTACACAGGAGAGTCAGTTCAGAAACTGTCTTGTGGTTAAACCTTCCCTGGTTAGTATTTGTGGAGGCAAGGAATCTATCTTGTGGGAAGGGACTTGGTATGATTCTAAAAGGGGACACAGACTTCTTTGGGCAACCAGAGGGATGCAAAGATATGGGATGAAGGACAGGACGGAAGTGGCAGACAAAGCGGTTCTTACAGGAAATGGACTGAAGGCTCCTAAGGAGGACACAAGCACCACTGAGCCGCCTCTGGAAAAAGAAAAGAGCTGACCGTCCTCCCAGTGTGGGCCATGGCCCTCGGCCCGGGTGGGGCCCTGTCTCACCCAGGCTTCTGCTCATGCTCCATACCCTCGTTTCTCCATCTCTGGTACCACTGCCTTTGTCAGTAGGGCTGCGGCCTTCACATTGATGTCCAGGATCTGAAGCCAAGAGAAGGCAGAAACAGCATGACAGATAAGCGTTAGAGGAGGTACAGTGACTGGGGTCACAGTGGGTTCCTAGTCTGTTTGTTAGAGCTGATGGGGATCTTAGGATGAGTTACTCAGACCGTATGCTGAGTAACTCATCCTAAGTTACTGAGTAACTGAACTCGGCTTCTTCATGTGAAGTAAATCTCACCAGCTTATTCAGCTATTAAGAGATTATAACACATTTGGTTCTCTGGGAAAGAATGGAGCCTGGATCATTTTGTTTCCTAACTAGCCAAGCATGATTTGGCCCAGAATGGACCATAATCCTCAAGGCTCCCTTGGATCTGAGAGAGGAACTGGAATTGGGTTGGTCTTCCAGACCCGCCCTAGAGTGGGCCGTGACTCTCGGGGTATCATGGCCTGACCTCGGGCACCTGGGGTTGGGCTGGCACTTCTCTGGCTTCTGAGCTTAGGAAGTGAACTGAAGGATGGGTTGTTTGGCTGGACTTTTACTGGGAAGTGGGATCATAAGGAGGCACCTTCTGGAGAAGCTGGGCTGCAATCAAAATCCCTTCATCTATAATTTGAAACAAATGTACACCCTACTGTTTACATTGTTCCAGATGCTGCTGGGATATCCTCCCATGTCCCCCAGGCCAACTTCTTATTTTAAAAATTTCATTGTTACAGAAAAGTTGAAATAGAAGTACAATGAATATCCAGAGACCCTTCACCTAGATTCACCAATTGTTCACATTTTGGCTCATTTGTACTCTATGTATCTATACAATTTTATTTTTATAAACCATTGAAAGTAAATTGTAGCTAACGATAATGCTTTACCTCTAATATTTTAGCATGCATTGCCGAAGAGTAAGGACACTCTCTTACAACAGCCATAATCCATGATCACACTCAAGAAATTTAACACTGATAATAGGAATTTTATATAATATTCTGTCTATAATAAAATTTCCCCAATTGTATTCAAAGTTCCATTTTTTAAAAAAGAATTGCAGCATTCAATTAAGGATGAAAATATGGCAGTTAGATTTGATATACTGTGATTTTAAAATTGTGTTTATTTCTTTTAGTTTGCTATAGGGTGCATGCATTCACCAGGGAGAGAGAGGAAAAGTGAGAAATCACTACCACTCCCACCCCTGCCCCAGAGAGGGATGGCTATACCACAATCCCTTGTTCTCCATTCTCCTCTTGGGATTTTGGGCATGTACACACACGTGCTCAGTGTGATTTTCAAGCTGCAGGCTCCAGGACTGGAACCATGTAGTCGGCCATGTGGGATCCAGCACCTTAACCTTCACACCATCTGCTGGCCCAATGCACTGTGATATTTTCAAAAAAGCAAACTAGGGGCTGGCAAGTGGCGTGGTGGTTAAGGGCACCGGACTCCCACATGGCTGACCATGGTTCAAATCCTGGACCTGGTGGCTTGCTTTCTCACTTTCTTCCTCTCTGTCCCTCTCTGGTCAAATTAAAATGAATAAATAAGTAAAGTTAAATAAAATAATTCTTTTAAAAAAAGCAAACTAAAAATAAAATTCCTTGGTTTAAAACTGATTGTTCAGGACCAGCAGATGGTGTAATGGTTACGTCGCTGGACTCCCATGTAGTTGATTATGGTTCAAGTCCTGGACCTAGTAGCTTAAAATTCATGCTGGGTGTGCATGCGAGTATGCCCAAAATCCCAAGAGGAGAATGGAGAAGGGACTGCGGTGTGGTCATTCCCCTGGGGAGTGATTTCATGCTTTCTGTCTCTGTCTATCTGGTGAGCACACAGGCCCTATAGCAAGAACCTCTCTAAAAACAAAAACGAAAAAACAAAAACACTGATTGTTCATGTGGTCTCTATTAAGACTATTCATGAAAGATATTTCTCTGAAGAATACCAAAAATCAGGAACTGGCTCACCGAAGAACATTTTGGCACTTTGGTCTTTATATCTGTGAAACACAGATAAATCATAATGCTTTGGTATCCTTAAACTTTAGTGTTGAGAAATTATTGACAACATCAGAATGAAAAGGAAAACCACAGGAGATCATAAAAAATGTAGCACTTCCAAATCATGTAGGAATATTAACCATAGTAAACAAAGATAAATATTTTAATTAAGGCTTTATAATTAAAGCCTGTAGGGGTGTGAAATATATTACAAATATAATGTAATTATGCATGTTCACATAATCACCAATATCGCAGCCCTTGAATTCAGACATCTCATGTCAGATTTTCCTGACACTGCAGTTAAGAAGAATCAAGTCCAGGTCTTCTGCAAAGGCTGTATGTTGTACAACGGCCACACTGGTCATTTCACCAGAATTGGTATTTCACTTAACTTAAGCGCTATTAACATTTCCCAACTAATGAAAAATCACTCTTTTTTTGGCAGCCTAAGAGGGGATGAGTGGGTGTGTAAGTTGAAGTGTTTTAGTTATTGGCATATTAGCTGCCATGTCTCTGCTGGAAATAAACCAGAAGAAGAGCATGGGTGAGCACGCTGTGGGAGAGAGCTTGCGGAGGGAAGAAGAGGCAGCAAAGAGCACAGGGAAGAAGATAAAGCTGTGGAGAAGCAGAAGTGAAAGAGAAGGACAGGGATAGAGGAAGCCACCTCCCACCTGCCCTTTACCAGGTGCACTCCAGGTGTGTGGCATGTCACATTTAGATTGCACTTGACAAAGGCATTCTAAAAGCAGACTGAGTTTCAAGTGAATATTTTCTGAACACCGCCCCCTCCCTTGTTCTGCTTCCATTGTTTCTCACCTTGTCCCACACCTCCTCGGTGGCATCCATTAGGTTTCCAAAGAAAGGGTTGACAGCAGCATTGGAGACCAGGATGTCGATACCTCCATGAAGGTTCACAGCCTAGAGAAAAGAACAATCTTGAGCAGGGCTGCAGGAAAATAAGGGAGGTATATTTATCAATGTTGATAAGGAATTGCTTCTTTGGCCAATAGGTGGCATGGAGGTTAAGGTGCTAGATTGCACATGGCCAACTTAGCAGTTCAAGTCCTGGATCCTGTGGTTTGAGAGTCACACCAGGTACATGTGTGAATATGCCCAAAATTCTGAGAGGAGAGTGGATGAGAAGGGACTGTGGCATGGCCATTCCCCCAGGGGGTGATTTCTCACTCCCTGTCCCCTTCCCCACAAGTGCATACACTTTATAGCAAAAACTCAAAACAAAAATTGCTACTTGGGAATAGTTGTCAAAATAACATTTTTTTTTCTTGAAACATTTTCCCTCCAAAGCTCCCTGTGAACTATTTAAGGTTGTCTTATTTCTTCTGCAGTCTTTCCTTCCTCTCTCCTCACTATTATTTTTTTTTAGAATCATTTTATTTAACTTTATTTATTTATTTATTTATTTATTTATTTATTTTATGAGATCTGATAATCTGATATGGGGGATATCAGTCTTCCTTAGTTGGTATTTGTCTGGTTTATCTTTCTAAATACATTTACTTTCACCTCACCACCAGTTTTTTTCCCTCCAGCTCCATGAGGTCACTATTTCCTTGCTGTTTTTTGCTGCTCCTTATCAGTGGTTCTCTGTCAGATGTATTAAGAATTGGTTGTTTCTTCTAATGAAGACATGACCAGCTCACTTCTTCTCTGCTCCCATTTGCTCAAATATTTGGGCCCTGTGGGTCCTAAAATGAATTTTTTTTTTTGCCTTTTCTTCTGACTTTTTTTTTTTTAAGATTTATTAATTTAATTTAATTCATTATTATTATTATTATTATTATTTTAGTGTGGCCAGAGAGAGAAAGGGTAAGCAAGTCGTGAGGTTCAGTACCTGAACTGTGGTTGGCCATGTGGGAGTCCAGCGACTCAGCCAACACGCCACCTGCTGGCCCATCTCTGACTTTTTGCTTCTTTCTTCATACTTGCCCTTCGGGAAGCTCCTACATTCTCATGGCTTCAACATTTACCTCTAGCCCCTCCTCTTTTTATACCAAGTCTCAGCCCCATCTCTACAAGTACTTACAGTCCAGTTTGCCTTGAATGGGTTCCATTATCTCAAAATCAATCTAGTCTACACATATTTGAGTGGAGAAACTGGTTTAACTAGATCCATAGAAAGTTACCAGGAGGTGCCTTTGTGATCATCTAGCCCAATGTCCCCATGGTGGAGGTGATAAACCTGAGGAAAGAGAAGTTACTTCCTCAAGGTCAGACAGCTCAGTCATAATGCATTAGGGGCAGCTAAGAACAGGAAGCCAACTCATCTGGTGTTTGTGAGAGGTGCAAAGATCTGCTCAGGGCACAAAGCTACTTAGTGGTAGCAGAACTGAGGTCAGTCTCCTACTTTGTAGCACAAAGCTAATCGATAAAGCCCATGTGAAAATGGTTAAGGGTTATTCTAAAACTGGCTTCCCAGGAATAAAATAATAATAATAATAATAATAATAAAAATAAAATAAAGTAGTTCCACGCTTTGTGACATCATGCTCTCTCTTCGGCCTGGAGGCACAAAGAGTCAAGGCAGTAACAGAGTTAAACTGGGAAAGCCAAGAATGGCTCCACCTCGCTCCCTAATGAACTGTAAGTTGGTGGTACAGGCATGTGCTAGAGTAATGAATGGCCAAGCAGAAACTGCCAGCAAGGGTTTTCTGTACTAAGCCACCCTGAAGCCAGACTTTGCACTGGCCTGGAACTAGCAATTTGGATGCCTTGGGCAAGTAGCTCTGCAAAGGTCCTTGATCCACTTTGCGCTTCAGATTTGGTGCACAGAGGGGTGTTATTAACAATGTACACCATCTGCCAGCTTCCTGTTTTAACTAATTATTCTTGCTAACTAGGTGCTAAGCTCAGTTTCTGCACAGTGGAAGAGATGCCTGGGCTGTCAACATGTACATTTAACAAAATTTCGAATCGTGTTATCTTTTAAAACCAGGATGAATACTTTCCTGTGACCTCTAAATTTTGGTGTCCTGGCACAAAACTCCCGTCACCTGCCTTGGCTCTGTGTAAGCTTCACCAGTGGACTCATGCCTAAGAAAGTGCAGCGTAAGCTTGAAGTGATGTGCGCTGTGTTCTGTGCAAGTGTGCTTGGGGGAGAGGAGGAGATGGTGGATTGCCCAGAATCACCTGGAGAGCTTTCTCACTCTGCCGTCGGTACAGAGAGGCAGAAAAGGCTGGGTTTGACTGAGCAGAGAGACAGAGAACCGTAATGATGAATGACGAAGGTACTCATGACCACCCGAGGGTCTTTGAAGACTTGCTCTACATTGTGTGATCGCTACACTGAAGTGGCTGGGAGTTGTCTGCTGTGTCCTCACAGTTACATATGTAGTTTGTAGAAAATGCACAGTATAATCAAGCAGAGAAGTGGCTAATCTGGTTTTTGCTCCCTGCGCTGTCAGAGAAGCTTCTCAGTACAGATTAGGAGGCCACTGGGTAGAAACCATCCTCAGGGCAGCAGCTTTCCTCCCTGTGGGGAACAGCTGGCAATCCGCAGAACATGTGTCAAATTGCAGACGATCTGCCAGAGGGCATGTGCACTTGCCAGAGAGAGAGCCAGACAGACAGAAGGGGAGAGAGAATCCCCTAGTGGGGTATGGTCACGCCTCAATCCCTTCTCTTCCATTTCTCCTTCCTGGCAGGATTTTGGGCACACATGCCTGGAGCATCAATCCAGTAGGGCCAGGAATTGAGCTGCACGGTCAGCTATGTGAGATCCAGCTCTCTTAACCACTAGGTCACCAGGCTGGCCATTAATTATTTACAATTGATGTAAGATTGTACATATTTATGGAGATCAGTGTATGTGTGTTTGTGTGTATTAAATTTGCTACAGGGTGTATGTGCTTGCTACGGAGAGACAGAGAGAGAGAGAAAGTGAGAAAATACCCCCCTGGAGAGATGACCATGCTGCAATCCCTTCTCCTCCATTCTCCTCTTGGGATTTGGGGCACACACATACACATGCCTGGTATATTTTCCAAGCTGTCTGGTCAGGACTTGAACCACATAGTCGGCCATGTGGGATTAAGCTGACTCAACCACCATGCCACCAGCTGGCCCTACTGTGGTTTCTTGGTGCATGAATACAACGTGTTGTGATCAAACCAGGATAATTTGCATATCTATTATCTCAAACATTTGTTATTTTTTTGTGTTGGGAGCATTTATAATTGTTTCTTCTAGCTATTTTGAAATGTCCAACAAATTGTTGTTAATTATAGTCATCCTATTACGCTAAAAAATGTTAGAACTTGTTCCTCCTAATTATAATTTTGTATCCATTGACCAACATCTCCCTCTCTTCCTCCTATTTCTCATTTAAAAAATAATTATTAATTTAATTTTATTTATTACTATCTTTTAATTTGACCATAGACACACACACACACACACAGAGAAAGAGAGAGAAAGAGGAGGGGGGGGAGAGAGGGGAGAGAGAAAGAGGAGCGGGGGGAGAGAGGGAGAGAGTGAGAAAGCAAGCCACCAGGTCTGGCACTCAAACCGTGGTAAGCCATGTGGGAGTCCAGTGCCTTAACCACTTCACCATCTGCTGGCCCCCCCATTTCTTGATATGGTTTGGAAAATTCTTGGTTGGTTCCCACTAAATGTCTCTTGGATACCTCTGTTTTGGTCCTACCGCCACTGCTCTAGCTCTGTATGTCAGCAACAGTGTCCCCACTAATGTCCTTGGCTCAGTGACTTATCCATATACCGTTCCTACCAGATCCAGAATATCCTCTACTAATAACCATATTCTTTCTTCTTCTTCTTTTTTTTCTTTAGTTTGCATAGAGTGCATACACTTGCCAGAGAGGGACAGAAAGAGAGACAAAGTGAGGAAGCACCCCCCCCCCCCCCCCAGGGATTGGCCATGTCATAATCCCTTCTCCTCTTGGGATTTTGGACATACACATACATGAGCCCAGTGTGTTTCTTAAGCTGGGTCCTGGACTTGAACAGTGCAGTTGGCCATGTGGGATCCAGCTGCCTTAACCACTACACCACTGGCTAGCCTCCCTTAACCATTTCATCTTGCCCAAAACCTCACATGATTTCTTAATTCCTTCAAGAATATCTAAACTCTTTTGGGAGGCTATGGAGGCTGCCCCCTATCTGAACCTACACTCTCTGCTGTGGACTAACAGTGCTCCCCTCCCTTCTTCATCCCTCTTTTGCTGGCTGTTCATTTTGTAGAGTCTCTGGGACTCTGTCCCTACTCCCCTTATCTATTCTTACCTGGCCCACAAGGTCTAGCTCAAGTCTCACTTCTGGGCCAAGGCTACAGGATCCATTAAGTGGAACTGGCTGGGGCCAGAAAAAATCTTTCCCTGTGAGATTTTGATGTTGAATTGCTACATCCATTTCATCTGGCCAGTCACTGATCGGGCCAGGCTCCCAAATGGCTCCCTCCATCCTCAGGATCAATTTCAGGCCCTGTCCAGCAGCCTATGCCAAGCAAGGTGACTTTCTTGGACTCACATTTAGCTCTTTCCAATGAACATGTGAACATTTGCCAAATTGTTCTTTAAAAATGGTATGAACTTAAGTCTACCATACCACTATCTACTATTACTTAAGGTCCTCTTTTTATTTAATTTTAATTTTTAATTTTTTTAGTTTGCTATAGGGTGCACGTGCTCGCCAGTGACAGACAGAGAGGGAGGGAGAGAGAGAAAAAGCTCTCCCCCAAGAGAGGACGACTATACTGCAAACCTTTCTCCTCCACTCTCCTCTTGAGAGCACTCACATACGTCTGCTGCGTTTCTCAGGCTGCTGGGTCTGGGAATCAAACTGCATAGTTGGAAATGTGGGATCCAGGTGCTTTAACCACCATGCTATCTGGCTGGCCCAAGTCCTCCTTTATTAAGAACACTAACCAAGGGCTGGCAGATGGCATGGTGGTTAAGGCGCTGGACTCCCACATGGTCCACCATGGTTTGAGTTCTGGACCCGGAGGCTTGCTTTCTTTCTCTCTCTCTCTCTCTCTCTCTCTGTCTGTCTCTCTATGGCCAGTGTATGTGTCCTATAGCAAATTAAAAAATAATAATAAATAAAATTTAAAAAATTCTAAAAAAAAAAAGAACAGTATCCAAATGATTTTTGCCAACCTTCCAATCTGTTCACACAATCCTGGACTTCTCATAATTGGGTAATAGGTTCTCCTTTCCACTCTAGAGAATAAAATGTGTGCCCTGAGCCTGGAGGGGAGGAGAACCTACTTTGCTGGATGGTCCATATTTTCGTGTGCTTTCCTGGAAGGCTGTTGTCAAGTACCAACTCTGACACTGGTTTAGACTCTCTGAGACTAAAGTCCGAGTAGGCACCTAGGCTGGACCCTACACTATGGGGAAGTGCCTGGGGGTCTGAAGGCAGCCAAGAAAGGAAGGGGGCTAGGAAGGTCTGGGTTTAATCACCATTCTTTCCTTCCTGGCTGGGGGCCTTGGGAAGTCACTCCAGCTATCTGTGAACAGGAAGAATAGTCCTTACCTTGCTTGGTTGTCAGGTTGGAGATAACCTGTACACGGCTCTGAACACGGCAAATGGCACACAGTAGGTGGGACTCCATAAACTGAAGGACGGGATTATCAGTTCACAGTTAGGAACTTCTATTTTGTGGTTGTATTTACTTTTCTAATTTGTCCAGTTAGACTGGAAATGGCTGGAGAATCAGGCAGGACCAGCTATTTTTGGGGGGAGTCCCAAGGGATGATTCAGAGTTGAAGCATTAGCATAGTTTTTGATTCTCTGGGAGAAGATGGTTATCAGACTTTAGGATATCGACATAACAGAAAGGCACGGGATAACCACAGTGCCAGTCCGCGGAACACACTAAGCTTTACTGAATAGCGCTGCACTGGATGTCACCAACACCGTCCAGGAGACCGGCTCCCTTCTGCTGCCTCAGGGCTCTGCTCATATCCCAGGTACTCACCGTGGTCACCAGCCGCTCCCGCTCCTCGGCCTTCCCCACATGGCACACGGTACCCGTCACGCTCAGCCCCTCCCCCTGCAGCGCAGCCACTGCCCGGTCCACGTTCTGCTGCTTCCGACTGCTGATGACCACGTGGGCCCCATCCTGGGCCAGTCGCCTTGCGATGGCCAGGCCGATCCTGCCAGGGGAGATGCAGACTGTCAAGGCCCATACAGTGGGAGAGGATGAGAACACGGGTCCTGGAGCTGGACTGCGGGGTCTGGGTTCTAGCCCTCCCTTCTATGACCTCTACATGTCCCTCATGTAAAACAGCTCTTGCCATGCAGGTAGACATGCTTAGCTTGCCTTTGACACTCATTTACTGATTTTTATTATGAATTTGGCCCTCTGCCTTGGTTTCCAGGAACTGACACCACTTTCCATAGCCCCCACCCCCCACTCTATCTGTTGGGGTCAGAGGGGTGAGTGAGCTGGGTGTGCAGAGCAGCCATCTGTGACTTGAGGGTCTCACTGGAGTCCCTACTCCTAAATACCTCCCCTACTAGTCTACATCGCCCTTAGAATTCCAACCTAAGTTACGTTTGGGAGTGTATGTGAAAGGCTGATCTCTGGTGTAACATGCAAATATTTCCCTAGGAGGAAGGGTTGCACCTTTTGCAATCGCCAGCCATTAGCATTTCACATACATATTTGTGTTTTATATTTGTGAAGGGCTGACATCTAGCAAAACCCCAAGGGAAGAGAAACAGGGTAGAAAGAAACTGTGCAGGCTAGGCCCTAATATACTTATTGAATTAAAAAACAACTCAGGATCTTATGTCCCACTTAGGTGAGGGGAGACTAAGTGGGTGCCAGTCAGGGTGTCTGGAGCATTCTCGTGTGGATGGATGCAGTGGGGTAGGATTTTCGAGGTCTGGGGTTTCTTGGATTTCTGGTTTCTGGTCTTCCCAGACTCTAGGTGGAGCTGCCTGACTGGGGCAGCCCGGGGCACTGGGGGACTGGATGGATGGGGTGGCACCGAGGTGGCAACAGTTGCCCTAGAGGCCGCAGTGACACGAGAGCCTGGCAATGGAAGGGCCAGAACCCTGGGATTCCCAGGGGACTTCAGGCCGATAACCTAGTTCCTTTTTTCCGGATCGGCCTTTAGCCGCGTGCTGAGGCCTGAGGACAGGGGCCCCGGGGGCAAAGGACAAACGGCTAGTATCTGTTTCTCCAGGGAGACCCTAAGAGTCTCTGGCGCAGGCACTCACCCATCGGTGGAGGCCGTTACGAGGGCCACCTTATTTGCGAGCGGTTCCCGGTGGGTCGCCCCTGAGCTGGCCATCCGTACTGATTTCCACGCGCTGGCACAGCCGACTAGCAACAGCCTCGCCTTCTCCATGGCTGGGGAAATTAGGGATTGGCTCTAATCCTCCCAGGGGAGGTAGGGCAAGGGGCAGGACTAGGGACTCGCCGCCTCTGGGTCTCGCTCCCCGCCCCCGGCCGGCGGACAGGGCTCTGTCCTTCCGCCCCGGCAACCGGCTGGGGCCGCGGGCGCCCCCTGCTGGCGTCCCGCCGCCGCGTCCTGTACTCCGCTGTCCTAGCCGGGCTTGCCCTCCCCTGGGCGCTTGAATGTGCCCTATGTCCTAGTTTCCTGAAAGGGCCGCCTCCCTACTGGGACTTCTTTGCGCACCAGCACCTCTTTCCACATCTGCTGGCCTACGTCTTTTTTGGGGGAGACCGGGAGTCTTGAGTTGACTGCTTTTTGCTTCTCAAAAGCCCAAGATAGAATTCCTTCTCCAGGCAAGTCTGGGTCTCCAGAATACGAAGACCCATAAGAGGAGGAGGACAGTAAATGTTTTTAGTCCCCCTATGGAGGTAAGGCCTTGGTCCTCTGGAGTCCACCACGCCAGGGTGGAGGCTGGGAGGAGACTAGGCTGGATTCTGCCCTTCACTCTGCACTCTGACTCGAGGTCTTCTCCATCTTCATAGGCCCTGGAGACTCTGATGGCTGTGGTAACCATGTGTAAGGATGTAGGGATAAGGATCCAGAATGAACAAGTGCTCTTATACCTCTGACTGCTGTTACTCTCTTTTTTTTTTTTTTTTTTTTTTTTTTTAATATTTCTGCTATAGGGGCATGTGCTAGGTGCTAGACAGAGAGAAAGTGAGAAATCACCCCCTAATAGGGATGGCCATGTCAAGCCCTTTACTTCCATTCTCCTCCTGGGATTTTGGGCACCCACACACACGTGCCTGGCCTGAGTTTTAAGCCACCGAGTCTAGGACTCGAACCACTACATGGGAGTCCAGCCATGTAACCGTTAGGACAACTACTGGTCCCAAGGACTTACCCTTTTTACAAGAGGCTGTAAAATGGAGGTAAGGAGCCTATAGGGTCTCCCAGTCAGTGGTGGGAAGACAGAGAACTCAGGAACATACAAGTTTTCCCTGATCACTATGGTCTTAGCCTCCATCCTAGTTCAGTAAATATTGTTGAAAGTAGAAGTGTTTTATGAGCTGTAAACTACTAAACACAGTAATTATTGCCACCGTATAGTGATTATTATTGCTGCCACAGGCCAGAGTCTTCATCTGTAAAGTGAGGATGTGGAGTAGATGATGAATAAAGTCCTAGCCAGCTATAAATTCTGTGTCCAAGACTTTGGCTTTTACTTCTGCCAAGTGGGCTGAAATGATCTCCCTCCTGGGTTTCTGGAAGAATGAATAAGTCTGAATAGCTTATGGTACAGCATAGAAGGTCCACAACAGACCCAAGTGCAAGAGTCTGAACTGGTTTAACCCGGAGGCTTCCAGATGCCAGACCGAGAAGCAATGCTGGCCTATGGCAAAGTTTACACTAGTTCAAGGCAAACAAGAAAAAGGCAATATAATGAATTTCATAAAGCTAAGCTTATTTAACTTAACAGTCTTTTATTGATTCTGGAATATGCTTTTTGTTTTTTTTTTCCCTCTTTCTTGGTGTTAGTCTTTTCTTTCAGAAAAGATGATCAAAGCAGATGGGTAGGTTTAGGAAAGTGTTAGTTGGTGAAATCACCCATTTGGCAGCCTTATGTCAGTCCCTACAATTAGACGGGAGGGAATTCGATTCTAGGGATCACTGTTTAATCGAGTTTATACTTGCTAGAGAGTCATTTGGTATATGTGCAGACCAGCTGAGCAACTGAAAGAGGATTTCAGCATTCCAAAGGGGGTGTGTGGATAGCAAGTGATATACCAGGCTTGCATTGGATTTACAGTATGTTCATCAGTCAAGAAGTTACAGCTGTGGTACTCAGCACGTCCAGATGAGATAAGAGAGCTGAAGTCTAATTTTCCTCGTGTCCGGGAAAACTGACTCTCTGACTGGTGCCCCTCAGTCTGAGCCTCATGAATTATTGATGGAGGCTAGATAGCACCACACTCCTCTTCCTCCTTCACTGTTTGGAGCTAATGCACTATGGGAACCCTTCCCAGCACTCTGCACCTGAGCGTGGGGCTGGGGAGGAGAGTGCACAGGGGAACAGCAGCAGGGTTCTTAGGACTTGGCTCAAAGGGACAGACCTGGGGGGCATATCTGATCTCTCTTCACCTCCTCCCCAGAGGTAGACAGCTGGACTCTGGAGGCAGAGGTTGGCAGGAGGATGAGAGAAATCACACTTTAAAGAGCAAAGGATTCTGGGAAAGGGAATTCTGGCTGGGAACTTGGTGAACCTCACATAGTCCCTCTTTATCTGGGCAGGGCTAATATCTGGCTTCCAACACAACTTCTTTGGGGACAGCATGGGGCATTAGGGAGGGGATCTGTAAACAAAAAAGTCTAGAAGGAAGGCAGAAGTATGGGAGTCTCTAGTTCCTACTCTTTGTCAAGCTGGTTTGTTAGGGATGGGTGTAGGAAATCTGGGGAAATACGTGGATATGTAAGAGTATCCCTTTGAAATGAGGACACAGTAGGCAATGGTATTCTTGCATGGTGGTGGCATCTGCCTATCTTCAGGAAATGCCTCTGTGAGTGAGAACTTTGCTCCTATCTTCTTAAAAAAACTGGTTGAGGTCTAGAAGGGAATTCACCTGGAGTGGGATTTAGGTCTGGCGTTTTGCAGTAGTCGTCCTAGATTGGTCATCGGCTCATTAGTACAGTGAGGGTTAGGCAATGTGGAGGGCTGGTGTGGGGTTGGGACAGCTGCCAAACAGAGAAGGCAACGATAGCGGTGTTAACAGTAACGCTTTCTTCGGGACTTACTACGTGCCAGCAAGTGTTGGGTGCTTTTAATAAATTATTGAGTATTTCTGATTTGGCGAGGTGGGTGTTTTTATTTCCGTATGTGAACTTGGAGTTTCGACAACCTGACATGCTGTCAGCTTAATTTTTCTGTCATTGTTGGGGTTTTTACAGAATTGGAATTTTACTTTTAGGACCAGTATGTTTTTGTCAGAATCATTAAAATATCTATACTTTGGGACAGCAGATGGTATAATGGTTACATTGCTGGACTCCCCATGTAGTCGACTGCAGTTCAAGCCCTGAACCCAGTGGCTTAAAACTATGCCGGGTGCATATGTGTGCATGCCTAAAATCCCGAGAAGAGATTGGAAGAGAAGGGACTGAAGCATGACCATCCCCCATAGGGGGTGATTTCTTGCTTTCTGTCTCTCCAGCGAGTACACATACCCTATACCCAAAATCTCTATCTAAAATATATACTATACTTTGAATTATAACAATGACACATGCCCGTGATTTTGAAAAGGGACAGAAAGTTATGTGAAATGTAAAAAGTAATTCTTCCTTGTGTTTCTTTCTTTTCAGCTCTTGGTCTTGTGGATCTTTCCAGAAATTTCCTATATATTTACATGTGTTTTTCTTTTAAAAATATTTACCACGAATTGGATGACACTAAATACATACTGTCCTTTTTTTTTCTTCCTTTCTTTTAAAAATATTTGCTATAGGACATGTGTGTTTGCCAGGGAGAGGGAGAAGGAAGAGGAAGGTAAAGTGAGAAAACACCTCCAGGGGGATGGCCACACCACAATCCTTTTTGCTCCATTCTCCTTTTAGGATTTTGGGCACACATACACATGTGCCTGGCATATTTCTCAAACTTGTGTGTCTGAGAATGGAACTGTGCAGTCAGCCCTGTGACATCGAGCTACCTTAACCACCATGCCACCAGCTGGCCACTTTCTTCACTTTTCCTCCCTTCTTTTCATTTCTCAAAACACATTCTTAGGATATGTTCTGAGTGGTGCATAACAGATATACTTTATTGTCTCTCTTCCTTTTAAAAATAGCTGTGCAGTATTTCATTGTGTGGATATTTTATAATTGATTTAGCCAGTCTCTTACTGATGAGCATCTAAGTAGCTTCCAGCATTTGGTATTTCAAACAATGCTACAGTGAACAGCTGTGTGTGTGTGTGTGTGTGTGTGTGTGTGTAGTTTTTTTTTTTTAAGAGGTTTTGGCCCTGGGGCCATGTGCTCACCAGAGAGAGAGAGAGAGACAGACAGACAGAGAGGGAAAGTGAGAAATCACCCACCAGGGAAAATGGCTATGTTGCATTCTCTTCTTCTCCATTCTCTTCCTGGGATCTTGGGCATGCATGTGTATGTGCCCTGAGTGATTTTTAGCTACAGTGTCCAGGGCTTGAACCATGGTAGAGCATGTGGGAATTCAGCGACATAAGTTCTACACCATCTGCTGGTCCTATATTTTTGTGTTTGGTACAAATACATTTATGTCTTGGGTTATATATGTTAAACTGATGGCTGTGGTCAAATCACCTAAAGGAAAGATTTAACCAGCTTTGATGGGTTTGTTTTCTAAAGTGAATTTACCTGCTGCCCTAACACTTAGGTATAATACATACAATGGTTTAAACTTTGGTTGGTGGCTTAAGCTTGGTGATAAATGGCAACACATCCTGGGTCTCAGAGACTTAGAGTCCATGGGGAATGATGGGCCCCACTGAACTGCCTCGTGCAGGCCCAAGACATACACTGCCTCACCCATGTTGTCAGTGAGGAAGCAGGAGCAGTGTGGTTATATATTAGGATTTTTTTTTTTTTTGAGAGGTTTTTGCTATAGGGCACGTGCGCTTGCCAGAAAGACAGAGACAGAGACAGAAAGCGAGAAATCACCCCACAGGGGGGATGGCCACACTGCAATCTCTTCTTCTTTCTTCTCTTGGGATCTTGGACATGCACACACACGTGCCAGGCGTGAGTTTAAGCCACCGGGTCTGGGACTCGAACTGCGGTCAACTACATGGGAGTCCAGTGACATAGCCATTACACTAACTACTGGTCCCTTAGGATTTTTTTTTTAAGAGGTTTTTGCTATAGGGCGCATGTGCTTGCCAGAAAGACAGAGACAGAGACAAAAAGTGAGAAATCACCCCCTTCCCCCCAGGGGGATGGCCACGCAGCAATCCCTTCTCCTCCATTTTCCTCTCAGGATCTTGGGCACGCACGCAC